GGCAGGGACGTGTCTGCAGCAGGGACCCACCAGAGCTGACTTCAGAGTGGCCGCCTGGCATATTGCTGTCGTCAAACCACAGCAACACGGAGCTCAAAGAAGGACAAATCCACTTTCTGTTGGCTTTGGCAACCCCCGCTGTCACGACCCGGCTGCTTCACGCTGCTCATGGGCTGGGTCAGAGCTGGCGTGGGGCCTCGCCGAGCACCGGCCGTGCAGGATCCAGGCTCCGGTTCTGCTTTGCTGTGCAGCCTCAGCCCCCAGCATGGAAGAGGAACAGATCCAGCGGGGGCCTTTTGGGGACTCCCCCTTGCTGCCTTGCCTGCCCGGCAGGGCTGGGGACTCAACCATGCTTCGAGGCGATGAGCTGCTCTGCAGGCGAAGCGATGTCTTGCAGCTCCTGTTGTTTATGGAGCAGAATGATTCACATGGAACTACCCCTGATTTCCTAAGTATCTAATTTATTAATCAGCAAACATTATGTAAATGTGGGTAAACTGTGATTTTAAATCAGTTTACATCAGATGTGCAAACGCTCCGAGTTTCTTTTTTCCTTCCTTAATAGAAATGTCTGCAAACTTGACATTTATGCGGGTGTGTGGTGAGAAACGGGGGATTTACCTCGCTGTGTAAATGGCAAGCCCCATTAACTGGGGTTTGTAAACATTTACCCATCCAAACAGGATTACGTCCCATGAACAGCCGTTTACACACACCCACCTCGTGCCGGGTAAGCGTGGGTTTAGCCCGGGCTTGCAGACTGCCGTGTCCCGACCCTCGTGCCAGCTTGGGCTGCGGAGCCTGGAAGGATGGTGTGCTGCCTCTCCTGAGCTATGTGGGGCCACGCTGCCGAGCAAGATGGTCTGGAGACGGTTGTTGCTCGAATTTCTGCCTGGCTCAGATGTAAAGTAAATCTGCGTAAATCACCGATCTCACAGGGACGTCCTTGGTTTGCCCCGGGGAGATCCTGCCCCGCATGAGGACCGCGGGCAGCTGGAGATGCTGCTTGTGCTCGGAGCCTGCTTCTTCTCCTCTTGTCTCCACTTGGCTCAATTTGTATGTTTTTTTTTTTTTTCCTTATTATGTTTCAAACACCATCTGGACTTGAACTGATCGGCTCCCGTTGGCGGGGGGTGAGTCACAAACCTGCCTCCTCGCTGTACAAGGAGACGGAGCTGCCCTGGGCCCCGCTCCCATGGGTCTGGAGACTCACGCAAGCCCCCAAGGGGACAACGAGCCCTGGGAAAAAAGGAGCCTGGAGAGTTGGATCTAGGAAAGCTCCCATCCACCTGCTAACGGAACTGGCTGGCGCTGGTGGAGCATGCAAGCGTGTGTGGCTGAGTGTCTGGCCACAATGCTCGGCAGGACGGGTGGCACCTTTGGCTCCCCACTTCTGCTCAGCTGCCCAGTTGAGCCCAGCAGAGCCCAGTTTAGCTCTAGCCTGGGCACTGGCAGCCCTGGCTGGCTCTCTCCCGTGGCTTGCGATGCTGATCGGAGCTGAGAGCGCACGCGCGCTCCCCAGCGCTGCTGCTTTTCCTGCCTGCTGCGGCATAACCTGATTTTATTTTTCCTAATGTTGGGTAATTAAGGGGGAAATTCAGTTATCAGTCAGCAAATATGCAAATGAGGTGGGAGAAGCAGCCTGTGTGCCTGGGCTGGGGCGGACGGAGGGTGCGGGAGCTGAGCAGAGCGGTTTGCTCTCACGTATCCATGTGCACCGGGTCGTGCACGGTGCCTGGTGCCGACTGAGCGTCTGGTGCAGAGATGCAAACAGCGCTGAGTCCTGCCCCGTGCCAGCGTCCCCGCTTCCACGAGGCTGGACGTGAAGCTGGTGCCCCGGCCCCGCGGTGCCACCAAGTGCCAGCGCCTGTTGGGTCTCTCCACAGAAGGGTGCTGGAGGCGGCCAAGAGGGCGAACCAGACGGGACACTTCATCTGGATGGGCTCGGACAGCTGGGGCTCCAAAATCTCCCCGGTCCTGCACCTGGAGGAGGTGGCCGAGGGCTCTGTCACCATCCTGCCCAAGCGGGTCTCTGTCAAAGGTAAGGGGCTGTGCTCAGGGGGTTCCCTCAGCTCCCCCCGGGTCAGCTGTCCCCTGCAGTGGTGTCCCCTTAACTGCAAGGTTTTGGCTGTGGAAGACTCTGTGTTTTGCAGCGGGTCTTCCCTGAGTGGCTTTTCCAGCCTCCAGCTTTGCCCAAGCGGCATCTCGGAAACAAACCCTCCACGTTCTTATGTGTCCCTAGACCCCATCGCTCACGAGACACTCCTTCCCCTCTGGCTGGGGAGTTTTGGGCCATGTGAAACATCTTCCTGCCATTCCAGAGGTTTATTCCCTCTATCCCCTTTTTCCCTGGGCAGGTTTCGACCGCTACTTCTCCAGCAGGACGCTGGACAACAACCGCCGAAACATCTGGTTTGCTGAGTTTTGGGAGGAAAATTTCCACTGTAAGCTGAGCCGGCACGCGCTGAAGAAGGGCAGCAGCATCAAGAAGTGCACCAGTAAGAGCTGTGGGGATGCTGCGGGCAAGCAGAGGCTCGTGGGCACGTGGTGCTGTATCGCACAGGGTGGATGGGGACGTGAAAGCAATGGCAGAGAGCCTAGGGCAGGCGTCAGAAAGGCTTCCCTTGCTTTCCCCTTATGGCCTTTTAGCTCATCCGTGTCCTTGTTGCTCCAGAGCTGCCAGCCCAGCTCAAGGCAACTACGTGGCAATTAATGCTCTGTGCATGGTGGTCTTGGTTGTGGGCATGGTTTTTTTGGACAGAGCATCAAAACCAGTTGGGGATTTGGGGGAGGCTGGAGAAAAGCTGGTGCTTCTGCAGCGTGGGGAATGGGGGTGATGCAGAGCTGCTCGCCTGTGTGGGTACTTGGTGTCCTCTGGGCTCGTGATGGCAGTGGCTCATTTGAAAGCGGACAGGAGTGTTGGACAGAAGCGTTGTACAAAAATACTTTCTTGCATCCTGGTGTGCTGTGTGTGATCCAGGGAAGCGTGGAGCCTGCTTGCTTTCTGTGTGTGAAGGCACAGTCCCCGCGCGGAGCTCCCAGGGCTGCTCCCTCTCGCGCACGCTTCTTGCCCATCTCCCTTCCCTTGGCTCCATCTTCTGCGGGTACAAAACCTCCCAGATTGGGGGGATTTGGGGCTGAATTCTGCATCAGCCAGCAGCAGTTGGACAACTGCCTCTTTCACATTGTGTGCTTGGCAGAAGTACCATAGTCCCGTGTAAGGCATGAAGCCACCGGTGCGTCCTTGCTCCCTTGCAAGCAGCTCCTACCTCCCCTGAGCGGGCTAAAAGCTGGGCTGGTTGCAGAGAAATGCGGCCGATTGATGGCGCAGGGTCGGGATCCGGCTCTTGCTTAGCCAGCACTGAGGCTGCAGCCGCCTCGTGCCCAAAAAGGGTGCTGCCGGGCGCCCCGCGGGAGGGTGCAGGAGTGCCCCGAGAGGAGCTGATCGCCCCGCGGCACGTGCTGGAGCGGCGTTTGCCCGTGTCTCCGCTGGTGTCCCCCTTGGCCACTCCAGGCAGGGAACTTTGTCCTGGCAGAGCCCAATCCCAGGCCCCCTCCTCGCCCCTCACTGTGCTTTTTTAGCCATTTTCAGCTAAAAGAGACTTGTAGGGATTAATGCAGTAAACAAGGCAACCAGGGGATCTGTCTTGCTGACAGCACTGCTGCCAAGGTGATGGTTGGAGGCTCAAGGAGGTGACATGTTTACTGAGAGATGGGAGAGATTTACTGCTTGCCTGGCACTGGCTGAAGACAGATAACAACGTGGCGGCTCACAGGCTGCGACGTGGCAGGGCTTGGGGACATTTGTGTGTCCCCCCCGTCCCCTTGGGAGGGATGTCTGTGGAAGCCGTGGTGTGCTGGCAGGCAGACGGACCTGGCTGCGCTTGGAAAGTTTGATCATGAAAGTTGTTGTTTTTTTTTTTTTTTCCTCTGGCTTTCAGCGCTGAGGATGAGGGTGATGAGGGTGATGGTGCTTCCATGTCCTCGTCCTTGCAGGCAGCTGATGATTTGGGGACACTTCTCTGCCCCCACAAGGTCTTTCCAGTGCTGGAGCTTCCACAAGTAGTCTTGTGGATAATGCATAGGTGTGAGCTTGGTAAGCGGCCAGGGCATGCAAGAAAACTTGCCCGTGGCCATGGCCTTGGGTAGCCGAGAGCATCAAGAAATCCCCAGCACCAGGAAATGCATGAGCAGGTCCTGCAAACCGCTGATCTCTTCCTCTTCATAGTAATGTAGCATTTAAAGAAGCGATATTTCAGGGCCAGGGTATTAGTGGAGGCAGCTGAAACCACGACATGGCAAATGTCCTAGGAACTGTCTTTAAATTATCTGAATTTGTCAGCAAATAAATTGTCTCCTGAACGTTTGCTTGGCAGATAAACGGAGAGGGGAAATAATGTACGATGAAGCAAATAACCTGCCTGTGCAGATCCATGTGCTCCTGCTTTGCATGGCTTATGCAAATGTCCTGTTCGGGGCTGTTTTCTAGAGGGAATTGTACTGACTCTCCCCATGAGCTTCAGGTGGGGGTAGAGCTCAACATGCACAGAGAAATGCCAGCCTTGCTTGCTTTTGCATCTCAAAGACCAAACCGAAGGGTGTCCCCCCCCGAAACAGGATGGCTTATGACTCTTGATCGCGTTATGGGAGAACTGGGAGGAAGGTGAGGGGCGAGGGCTGGGGT